GGGGGGCCGCCTCTGCTGCTGCCGTCCATGCTGATGTTCGCGGTGATCGTGGCCTCCAGCGGGCTGCTGCTCATGATCGAGCGGGGCATCCTGGCCGACCTGAAGCCCCTTCCCCTGCACCCCCGAAGCCACGAGGGCGCGGCCTGGCGCGGGGCGCTCCCCGTCCCCGGGGGGCTGCCCGAGGACGCCGGGGACTCCGACTTGCAAGTGCGACAAGACGTCCGGAACCGCACCTTGCGGGCTGTGTGCGGACAGCCGGGCATGCCCCGGGACCCCTGGGACCTGCCAGTGGGGCAGCGGCGCACCCTGCTGCGCCACATCCTCGTGAGTGACCGCTACCACTTCCTGTACTGCTACGTCCCCAAGGTGGCCTGCTCCAACTGGAAGCGGGTGCTGAAGGTGCTGGCGGGGGTCCTGGACAGCGTGGACGTCCGTCTCAAGATGGACCACCACAGTGACCTGGTCTTTCTGGCAGACCTAAGGCCCGAGGAGATCCGCTACCGCCTGCAGCACTACTTCAAGTTCCTGTTTGTGAGGGACCCCTTGGAACGCCTCCTCTCCGCCTACCGCAACAAGTTCGGGGAGATCCGGGAGTACCAGCAGCGCTACGGCGCCGAGATCGTGAGGCGGTACAGGGTCGGCGCTGGGCCTAGCCCCGCCGGAGACGACGTCACCTTTCCGGAGTTCCTGCGGTACCTGGTGGACGAGGACCCCGAGCGCATGAACGAGCACTGGATGCCTGTGTACCACCTGTGCCAGCCTTGTGCCGTGCACTACGACTTTGTGGGCTCCTATGAGAGGCTGGAGGCTGATGCCAACCAGGTGCTGGAGTGGGTGCGGGCACCACCCCATGTCCGATTCCCCACCCGCCAGGCCTGGTACCAGCCGGCCAGTCCCGAGAGCCTGCACTACCACCTCTGCAGTACCCCACGGGCTCTGCTGCAGGACGTGCTGCCTAAATATATCCTGGACTTCTCCCTCTTTGCCTACCCACTGCCCAATGTCACCAGGGAGGCCTGTCACCAGTGATCCTGGGTACAGGGCCAGCTGCTATGGGGACCAGTCTAACAGTCCCAGCTTCTGGTACGAAGTAGGAAACCCTAGCTCAGAGGCCTGGGGCTTCTCCATGTGCCCAGATGGCAGTGACCGCTCTGGGAAGTCCCTTGTCCAGAGTGGCTACCCAGAGATAGTGCTGGACAGAAAACTTGGTGCTCCCCAAAAGGGAGCCTCTGGGGGATGGTGGGATTCTTCTCCCACTGTTAGGGCCAGACACTGATTGCCAAAGAAGAGACACGCCTGATCTGTAGACTGGCTCTGGGGTCCAGGCTGTGGGGCTTGTGCATCCGTCCACTGTGGGCCATGCGCAGAGGTGGCAGCAGCCAGAAGCCCAACCAGAGCCAGGGGCCCCGTGGTCTATCTCCCACCCATTCCCGCCCGCCCTGCCCAGCTGCACTAGTGCCTTAGAAATGCCTCCTCTGCCTTCTCGCTCCGGACTCAGAAAATTCCCTACACCTTGCCAACTTCTTTCCGCTTCTCCAAGGAAAGGAAAACGGAGGCAGGGCTCTCGCCTGGTAGCTCCAGGAACCACCAGTCTGCAGGCATCCAAAGACCCCTGTGCCCACCTCATCCCACAGTCCTGAGGGCCTTCTCCCCCCTCAGGCCTCTGAGGTGGTGGCCGTGGCTGGTGCATCTGGCTGCCACTTTTTTCTGACACGTTTATTTAAAATGTATACTTTTTGATAGCATCTTCAAGAGGGCTTTGTTGTCTTACTAGCCGACTTTTTAATTAAAAAGTGTTTTGTACAAAGTCAGGATCTCGGTGATTCTTCTCCCTTCTGGGCCCCTGGAGGCCCAGGCAGTCTCCCAGGCAACTTGTTTCCCCAGGTCAGGAGGGGCACGTTTGCACCTAAGAGGTGAGAATCTATGGCGATTTGTGACTTGTCTGGGCCAGTCCAGAGGGTCACTGCCACACCATGGGCCTACGGGGCCTTCCAGCAAGCCATATGGACCCCAGGCTGACCTGGGACTCTCCCCAAGAGCAGGTCCACAGGAGGAATGGTCCCGGGCCCACAGCACATTGACATGAGCTAGTCCTTTAAGAAGGGAGGTGAGGGTGAGACTCAGGCTCCTCCTCTAAAGAGCAGATTTCTGAAGTGAGGCGGCCAGCAGTGCATTTTCAAGTGAAAAGGGGATCTTCTTTGCCTGATTGAGCAAGGCGGAGGCTATTCCTGGAGCATATGGAGTGAGGGGCTGACTCTTGCTGGTGAAGGTCCTGAGGAAGGTGCTGGTGATACGAGAAAAAGAAGTGTTGCAGTGGAAGACCGACCTCGAGATGCGGGGCCCTCCCCTGCTCTTCAGAGACCCCAACCTTCCCCCAGGTGACAGAGAAGAAGGAGGCCAGGCCTGCCTTGTCCCTGAGCTGGCTCTTTCCTGTTAGCCCTGGCTCATCCACCACCCAGTGGGACTCTGTACTTACAGAAGTAGGTCCAGGAGAGGGAGGGAGGCGAGAAGGGCTTCCCTGGTAGGGCCAGCTATGTCTAGCCTTGCTTTTGGCCTCCCTTGGGAGAAGAAAACAACCCTGCTCGCCGCAGATTACCAATATAATAAAGGAAGTACAGGCAGTGGAAGACAAAAGAAAAAAATCCCTGCTGGCAAAACAGGTGGTAGAGGTGCTTCTAAAGGACCCGTGATTCTCCATTCCAGCTCTCCAGGTCACATCGCCTCTAAGAAGTCTTCACCGATCTGTCTGGGTTCCGCGCCCTTCTGCCAGCTCCCCTTGACCTCAGATAGCACTTCCCATTCTGTGTTCTGACAGCCCTTCTCCCCTGCAGAGAATGAGGAGTTCTGTGGTGTTGGGATGATGGCTGTCTTGTGTACTTGATGTTCCCATTACCTAGCCCAAAGGTCAGGCAGACCTTGGGAATGAAAATGGCTAGGCCGTTGCAAGGAGTGCACCTCCCCTAAAGGACACACAGACCTGCACCTGAATTCACTCAGACTGATCAAGTCCCAGTCCTGCTCCCGATCAGCTCACAGAACCTCAACTTTACCCCATGTCTTGTGCAGAGTGTTGTGAGGATTAATAAAGAGAGAGTCAAGGCCCACGCCCCAACATCTAACTCACGGAATGTGCTGTGCGATGCTGGCTGCATATTTGATCCCTCAGAGGCCTTTGAGGACAGGGGAGAAGCCAAGACCCATGTCCAACCCATTGCTGAAGACTCAAGCTGCCTTTGGGCAGAGACCCTTTGACCCCTGGATTCACTTCCTCTGCCAGGCAGAGGTCCTCAGGAGCTCACCACTCCACCCACCCCTGGTTTCTTCCTCTCTAGACCCTACAGCAGCTAAGCAGGCCTCCGTGGGGAAGCCTGCTGTGTGGGGCACAGGAGAACCCAGAGAGCGCTGGCCCAGCGGCTGTCTTTCTCTCATCTCATTCAGTGCCATCCGTGTTATCCCAGTTTTCAAACAGGAAACTGGAACAGAGAGGCTACGTCCAGGCAGCCGAGGCCTGTCCCTTTCTCAAATGGAGGAGAAGAAAAGGGGAGGGGAGGAAGAGGGAGGGAGAGTTAGCTTATGGAAAGTGGGAGTGGAAAACAAGGGACTGGGAAGGTTAAAGAAGATGAAGGCTAGACGGGGTTCTATTTAGAGCCATTTGGGCATAGTGTCAGGACTCCTAGTGGAACAGTGGTTAAGTGCTTGGCTGCGAACTGGTTCAAACCCACCAGTGCCTGGTGGGAGGAAGATGTGGCAGCCTGCTCCCTGAAAGATGATAGCTCTGGAGACCCCATGGGGGCAGTTCTAGTCTGTGCTCCAGGGTCACTGTGAGTCAGACCTGACATGATAGCAATAGGTTTGGGGACATCTCTCTCTCTCATCGGTTCATTGATTCCTTCATTCAACCTACTGATTTTCACCAGGTCCTACCCGGTGAGAGACAGTGATAAGAGTCACGATAGAGGCTGTGTCTACTCTCCTCCCAGGCAGGGAAGGGGGCTGAGCCACAACACATCCTCAGAGACAGTACTGGACATCGGGGGTGGGGGCGTGGTGAAGATTGGACATAAGAGGGAGAGCAATTGCTAAGACAAACTGCCTCCTGAGGTGTTTTTTTCCCCTAGAGCCAGCCCTGAGGATCTACTCTGCCTTACAGCTAGCAGAGGGAGTGGGTGGCTGGTTAGCTCTAGTGGGCACTGGACACTTGGGCCAGCTCTGGGTGTACAGGAGGCTGAGTCACCAGGGGCAGGGATCTTCTTGGGATCAGACACCTGGATCCCTGGACTGTGTCTTCTTGAATCCCCTTCCCTAGATCTGCCAGGGTTCTCATATTGAGTCAAGTCCTACAGCACTGCCTGGCCCCTACGAGGGTAAGGGTCTCCTTTAGAGTGCGCTCCAAACTCAATTTGAGAGTGATGAACGAGAAAAAGGGGCGCAGCTCTAAGGGGTCTGGCTCTGGATGCCTTACTAGGCCTCCACGGACTGCCTCACGTCATCTGCCTGTCTGTACGTAGCCAGCATTGTCACTAACCAGTGAGTAATGCTTACTAAGTAAGTCTTGTATGGGGGGGGGGGGAGCGGGGAAGGAGGGGAAAAATGAGGACCCAATGTCGGGGGTTTAAGTGGAGAGAAAATATTTTGAGAATGATGTGCAAATGTGCTTTACACAATTGATGTGTGTATGGATTGTGATAACAGTTGTATGAGCCCCTAATAAAATGTTTTTAAAAAAAAAAAGTCTTGTATCAATTCCCAATTGATAATGAGGAAGTTAAGTTTATATGATTGGCCCAAAGACACCGGAGGATTGGGATTAAAAGCCAGCTCCATCAACAGTTTTCTTCCCCCAAGCAAACACACACTAGCTCCCTGCATTCGCCGAATGAGCATTGTTCATTTTCTCTGAATTTTACACCCTGCGCCAGCCCTCCTTCACAACCATCAACAAGGGATTCCGTCCTTTCTCCACATTGGCTGACCCCAAGAGTTAACTTCCCATCCGTGCTGGACCCAGACTCGATCACTTTGGACCCTCCTCAAAGCAGATGCCAAGACAGTATTGCATCAGACGGACAAGGTGGGGGAAACACCTGGGAATCATACGGCAGGTGGGAGCGGGAGGAGGCACAGACAGCCCAGCAGCTGTGAGAAGGGAGCGAACAGGACACACTGGGTAGGGAGAGTCTCAGGTTGCAAGAGAGCTCTAAGAACATTTTGGCCAGGCCAGTGGAGAACCCCAGGCAAGGACTGCCTGCTAGCAGCATCCTTCCTCAGAGAGAAACAGCCCAGTCCTAGGACCCCTATCGTGCTCATCCCTGGCTGGGAGCAATCGGAGATCCTGAACACAGAGGTGGGGCCGCAGACCCAGGCACTGGGGCTGCCTGCATGTCTCATAGCAGGTTTTCAGGCAGGCAAATCGGAGCATTGTGCCTCTGGGGCTGTCACACAGACCCAGCCTGGCCACGCCGACTTCTGGCCACTGGCCCTGCAGGTTCTGTGGATGTTGTGACCTTTTGAATGACCAGAAACCAGCTGTTGGTCTGAGCAATGGTTCTCAACCTTCCTCATGCCGCGACCCTTTCATACAGCTACTTCATAGCTGTCATTTTGCTAGTGTTATGAATCAGGCAACCCCTGTGAAAGGGTCGTTCGACCCCCAATGAGGTCACGTCCCACAGGTTGAGAATCACTGGTCTAGCAAGAACCTCTAGATGTCTGTGGGTTCCTGCACAGAACTCTTTCCTCAGGCCATCCCCTGGCCTTGTAGCAGGACAGCTGCCCCCTGCCCTTCATTTGGGTATTAAAACACACATCCCATCACCATGCAGCCTAGGGAAGAGGGGGCAGGAGACACCCCACTCCCCCACCCCCAGCATCCATCTGGTCATTTTTTCCATCTTTAGCCCAAGAATCTGGAGAGACTAAGCTGCCCCAGGAGCTAGCTCTGCTTGAGTCCCAGGGACAGCAGAGTCCCCCAAATCCAAGCACAGTGGCCAGACAGCCCTCAGAGTAGCAGGCTCCAAGGGTGCGAAAACCAGACGGGGCCCCAAAGAGGCTACTACAGAGGGCTTGCAGCCTACCTGGAGGAAGGTACTCAAACCAGGCCCAAGAACAGCAGGGCTTGGGAGGGTGGAGAATGGGAGGTGAATTAAGTGAGGCTTTCTGGTTGGGGAGCTACTCTGGGCTGGCAGCTTCCTCTTTCCCTCCCGACTACGTGCTGAAGACAAGAAGCTGTAATGAGCTTTTCCCACAAGAACTTCCTCCTCCAAGCCAACTTGGACAGAGTAGCCGACTAGTCTCCCACAAAAGGGTCTCCCGCTGCCTGGGCGCAAATGTTCAACAACAACAAAGTGGTTTGGGCAGATGAAAGAGGGGGATCTGGCCCAAGATAGGGAAGTTTGTAGGGAAAAGCCTGTCCCCTGTGTAACTTTTAGGAGCCTTGGTGGTAAGTGGGTTACATGTTGGGCTACTAACTGCAAGGTCAGCAGTTCGAAGCCACCAGCCACTCCTTGGGAGAATGATGAGGCTTTCAGCTCCTGTAAGGATTTACGGCCTCAGAAATCCACAGGGGCAGTTCTGCTCTGTCTTGGCGAGTCTCGTGTCCACCTCTAAGTTGGAATGAACTCGGTGGCAGTGAGTGAGCACAGATCTGGGGTGGGGGCGTTGTGGTTTTTGTTCACTGGGGCTGCTCTTAGCCCAGAGCACCCACAGGGGTGAGTAGAGGTGAGAGACGGGGGCGCAGTGGCCGCAGAGGCAGAACAGAAGAGGGCAGGGGCCTCAGTGGCCGCTCAGATGCCTAGCAGCCCGCCCTGAG